ATTTTGATAGGGACTGACTTCCCCCCTTCTTTGAGTAGTGCCTTGGTTAACAAAAATCTGACACCCTCTTTCTAGCCAATTTAACACTAATTTGTCTTTTCCACAACAACATTGCCTCAATAAAACGAGTAAAGCACAGGTTCACCATAGAAGAGTCTGCAGTAAACACTTAGGACATTTTTCAAGGGGAAATATAAGGTGGACAGAATCCCTTCAAGATGAAAAGGAAGCGAAAATCTTCAAGTAGGCTATGCCAGCTGGTGCTATGCGTGAAGGTCACCATTCTCCATATCCACCTGACACCTTTACCAGCACCAAAAGGCTCTTTCTGTCTCCTATCTTCCTACCTCAAAGTAAGGTCCAACATACCCACCACAACACTCCCAAATGAGACCTCAAACCCACCTCTCCAACAACCTTCCCTATGGGCAGGAACTGCCTGAATGAAAATGCTTGCTGCTTCCCTGGAAGTGTGAAAGTAACAAGCAAGTTGCAGTTCCTGGTAGACTGTGATCTGGAGGACAGGAAAATCCACAAAGGTAGTTTCTGCTCAAAGATAATTCTCATCCTGATCCAGCTAAGCACTAGCACTGTGTAGAGTCAGTTGCATGCTTGCATCACTTCAGAAAGTCCAGTGCAAGAAGTCACAAGCAAGTAAGCAACAGTGCTATTGAAGGCAGGACAGACCTACTTTAAATGCACCCCAAAGCAATACGAGCAAGCGATTTTCAAAGTAAACATAGCAAACATTTGTAAAACAAATGACTCTTGAGATGAACAGAAAAAGGAACCTTTCTTTTTTTTTTAATGAAGGAATGGAGGGGGAAAGAATTGGCATATTTTCAATGCAAAAACTCTTTGAACTTCAAAGTATTAAGTGCAAACCCTATCCATTTCTATAATGTTTTTATCAGCTTAACAACCAGGTTTTAGATTTGCTAGCTTAAATCAGCTAACAAAGAAGTTAGCTGACTTCATCTACTACTGCCATAACAAAAGTAGATGCCAGGATGACAGATCTGATAAACAGGATTAGCAGAGTAAGATGTCACTCCACACACAGAAATCTTGAGTTCATACTACACACTGAATTTAAACTCTCTCTATGTTAAAAACTCAAGGACATAAACCACCTATGATTCAGTTCACACTGTCAGTTCAAGGTAAGTTGCTAAGTTCGGAGAGCTTTCAGGTCTTCAACAAGGATCACACAGCTGAAACACTGCCCATGCAGGAAAAGGTAACCTTGGAAGATTTACAGTTCTTACAAGAAGAAAAATGCCTGCAACTTGCAAAAACTTCGTGGTTTGTTTCATTTTTTTTGGTTTTTAATTGTTATTAGTTTAACTTTTGATATTGAAAGAAAACCATAAGAATTTGATTGGAAATACTTTTATCTGCCTTTGGCCATGTACTAGATCTGCAATACTCAAATACTTATGTAGTTAGTTAGGCAAAGAGAGTGCATGTTAAAAAAAATTCCAAACCCAGACCCAAAATACCAACAAGAAATTCCCTTTTTTTTTTTGTCATATTGCTGAGTATCAAAAAAAATCATTACTGAATTTCCTCTTCACTCAAATACCATATTTAGACTAACTTTGAATTCAGAAATGCTGAACCAAAAGATACAGCATGGGTAACACAAGACTAGCAAAAGGGTTTAGTTTTTAAATAAAATGCAAGTTTAGAACATGAAATGTTTAAAATCCTTTTCGAAGAAAGTGTGGAAAATAAGCTTGTAGATGCAATACATACAGAACAAAATTTCAAACTCTACAGTAGGCCAATATTGCAACTTGTAAAGCAAAGACTATTTGTAAAACAAAACACAAAATTTCACCTTTACAGCATTTTGAACTCCAGTTATACACAGAAATCCTTGTAAGAAATAGACTAAAATGAAGGTGAACTAGCCTGGCATTAGTAGAACCTGAAAACAGAATAAGAATGAGAATAAAAGCTGGTCTAGCCCAGACTACTTTCTCTGACAGTGGCCAAACACAGATACCTCAAGAAGAATGTGAAGATAGGGCAAACTGCTGTCATCACTGTCAAAGAATACCATCATAACACTCAACAACTTACAGTACAGTCATATCTTCATGTTTGGTCAATCTTATTGGATTACCTGCATGTAAAATTGCCTAGTTGCCCATTAAGTCCACGTAAGGTTTTAGCATCCGTAGTATCCGATGGCTGGGACTTCCACCCCTTAACGACACACTGTGCTGACACGACCTTACTTGCTGTCAATCATTTTTTACTTGATAACCCATTTTTTATCAGACACCCCACAGAGCTTGCATAAAAAAAAAAAATAAAACAAGTGATCAAGCTCTTTTAACGAGGAGTTCCATCCATGCCACACCTGTCTCCAGATATCTCTGTCTTAACCTCACAATACAATTTACTAATGAGAGAAAATAACCAAATGGTTTCTCCTCTATTAACATTTTTATTTATCTAAATTGAATTTCATCCACCATTTAAGTACCCTAACAGTCCAATAAGGTCTTTCTGCAAATCTTCGTAGGCAATGCTGTCTTTTAAACCCTTGACAGTGTGCAAAGACCAGCAAATATCACTGTTCAACCCCTTCATTTATGGAGTATGTTGAGCAGCACAGACACCTGAAGTGATTCCTGTGAAACTTCACTACTTAAAGACAACTGTTTACTCCTATCCAAGCTTTCAGGCATTTATTATTTTTCCTTGCAGAATCTTCCCTCTTGACTTCCACTGCTCCTTAGCTGGTCATGCAAGCAAGAATTACTGAATACTATGGTTTAGGGATCTGCCAGGTACACTTTGCTCAAAGGGCCCTCCTTCCAAAGGGGAATTCCTGTACTTGGCCACTGGTGTCCAAATGCAGGCCTTTTCAGTGTGACAAAAGACATCTTCCAACCTCTGTATTTGTTAAAAATATTGTAGGACAGTGTTTCCTGTTGGTTATTTTAGTATATTATTTTCATTTACTGCACCTAAAGGGATCACATACCCATAATTTCAGCCTCACCTGATATACTTTCACCACTACTAGTCTAAACAAGGAATATTTTGTTTGTATATACAGTCAAAATCCTCTCCAAAACTAGAAGATTTGAGACAGGGTTACCAAGAGAAAACAATACACTTTAATATTATACTTAGGAACCAAAAGGGATTGTTGAGTCTCCCTTATAGATTTGCCAAGGTACACCTGTCAGAGGGGGTTTTAGATAATCATCAGCACTCTGGATGCTGGCTCTGAAAAGATCTCAAAGCCAGCCTTGGGACCTAAAGACCGAGAGCTCACTGTTAAACCTGTTAAAGCAATTTTCTCTCAGAGCAGGTACCCCTCCCAGGTTCTTCTCTCTCCCTTCCCTACTTCTTAATCTTTGATTAAGGTGACTGTTATCTCTTGTATTCTCTCCGCTTTTGTTCTAAATCTTATTTCCTAGTTCTATCCAGCAGCAGTGCAGACCTAGTGGCTCACATCTCTGCACCACATCTTGGGTGTGGTTATCTTCCACATTCAAACCTTTTGTTAAGTGTTTCAGCATCTACTGTCTTACTTTGCAAGGTAGAAAAATCCACTGCACCTCAGCCTTACTGTAATACTTTTCCAAACATTAATTCTTCCTTCCTCAGACTTAAGAGTTCACATTTTAAAACCCCTTCCAGGATGTATCACCAATACAGACTACCCTTAGCCAAAGCTCACAGTCACTATCACATATGGTGAGAGGATTCTAGACAGACTACACAGAACAGTACTAATCCAGGTGACAGAGTGCTATCAACTGCTGTAATTCAGTAACATACTTTTGTTGGTTTGGGTTTTCTTTTTTATCAGTTCTGGACACAAAACTGAGTGCTGGCTTTAGATTTCCTGCTTTACATTTTAATGTTTCTGCATAGGTGTACAGTGAAGCCAAGTATAAAGGTGTTAAGCATACATAAAACGATACCTATTTAAATCTGGCTGAGAATAGAGGCAATAGTAGCAAAAAAGTAGCAGCAGGTGCTTAAGCCCTGGCCAGCAAGCCAAGAATGATACTGTATTATATTTCTATCACCTTTCCTACCCCTATCAGATGCAGTACAGCAAGCACAGATATGCTTTGTAGCAATAACTTTCATTGTATACCCCTTCTGAAAAAAATATTGTACCAAGGCAACCATGTTATTATCTGCAAGTTTTCCACAGTAATTCAGGATCTTAATGCTGAATTGGCAAATTTAACAATTGCTATTTGCTACCTACTGACTTGGAGATTTAAGTCAAGTACTGTGAACCCTTAAAAAAATAGCTGTAGTTTTCCCTTTTCTCACATTGTTTTCTATCCAGAAATTCAACATTAGCCACCAATTGCATTAAGAGAGCCAAAACTGCACACTAAATACAGCATTTTACACCAGACTCCAGTTTTTTAAAAAAACATGAAGATCTGGGACCTTTAAGTTGCTGGGCAGGACCATCACCAGAGGAGTAGTGTAAAATTAATGAATGAAGATGCACCATGCTCCAAAGGGAGGGCTCTGCTGGCAGAGGCCTATCGAGGGACTCCCGTTTTGGGTGGGAGTTTTCTTAGCGCAGGGTCTACCGGTGCCAATAATGGCGATAGAACGACAGAAGGTTTGGGATGCCGTGAATAAGGTGGTGTTTCGGTGATCTCCAAGTGATGCCCACTCTCCATCCCACACCACGCGGGGGCTGGACGCTGCCAGCCCACAGAGGTACCCTGACTGACGTAAAGCTCCCCACTCGGGCCAGCGTCCACTCAGACGGACCCACGCCTTGTGCTATAAATCACTCCCTCCTTCAGGGAATTTGCACGGTTTGTCTCCCGAGGGTGGGAGGAGGGCTGAAATTTTCCTTGGAAAGCCCACACGCCGCGAAATCCCGCTCGCTCCTGCGCTACCGCTCACGCAAAGCAAAGTTTTGCCGCTCTCGCCATAGCGACAGAGAGCGAGACCCACCCCCGTCATCCCCGCTCCCCCCGGCGACGCCTCACCGTCCCAGCTCGGACTCCAGCTCGAAATAGTGAGCCAGGGTGTCCTTGTTGGAGCCATCGATCCAGTACTCGGGTGCGGCGGAGCCGGGGCGGCCGGCTGCCGAGGAGCCGGAGGAGGAGGACGAGGAAGACGAGGAGGACGAGGAGGATGAGGATGAGGAGGGCATGGTGACTTTCAGCATGCCGGGACGCCTGCCGGGGGCTATCCCCTCCTCTGCGCCGGCTGCGGAGCGCGGAGCGGTGAGTCGACGGCGACAACACCTCACCTACCTCCCTCTTTCTCTCCTTCCTTACTTATTTCCTTCCTTCCCTCCCTCTCTCCCTCCCTCTTCTCTCCTCCTCTCCCTCCTCCCAGCGGTTCTTCAGCCCGGTGGGGCGGCGAGGCGGGGCCGGGGCGGGGCTGGGGCCGCCCCGAGTGGGGGTCGCACCGCCCCCAGATCCTTCCCGTCCCCTCCGAGCCCCGGGCGTTCCCTTCCCGCAGGGAGAGACCCTCGGGGCCGGCCCAGGTAGGTAGGAACCCCACGAGTTCCCGGCACAGGCAGCGGGAGCTCCCTGAGTCCCTGGAGCAGCAGGACCCAGCTCCGCGGGGGACAACTACAGGGATGTAGAAACCGCATCCCGATCCGGAGGGAAGGGATGCTCAGCCCGCAGAGAGGCGGCCCGCCATGCCGCAACATCCCCGGCAGCTCCCGAATTGCCGGAGTTCAGGAATTCTCTCTCTCTCTCCGTGAATTTGAGGAGGAGGGTGTGGGGGGTAGAGAATGAACAAGACAAACCAACGGTGGGAAAGAGGCTGACAAAAGCTCGAACATGACTGCAAAAATAATAATAAGACCACCAACAGATAGCTTCCCTTCCCAACCGGAGAACTAAAAGAAGCCATAGAGAAATAAGATTGCTGTTCTGCAATGCCGCTCTTAACAGGTTATGAAATCTGCAGGTCATGGAATGCATTCGGTTTACACTAATGCAGGCTACACCCCCGACTGCAAAATCCTTCACCAGAAGTGACTATAGAAGGGCCGTTTCTGTTGGTGTAGTGGCGAAATAAAACAGCAGCAGTTGTATGTGCCTCGCATGCATAGTGTGCCAGATCAATCCCACTCACATCCTCTCCGTGCTGTTACACCCACTCATACTGCCATGCCAGCACAAGCAGGAGGTAAAATGGACAATGTGTAAGCCTGTGCAGCAGAAGGGACGGAAGTATTGTCGTCTAATTTTCAACCACATTTCACTATCCTGTTTTTAAACATGGTATTTCTTGCTCAAATAAAGCACAGAATCCTCTTCAGTGTTTGTCCTAATACAGATGTATTAATGTTTTCCAAGATGTTTTGTTTCCCTCCATAAACAAGTCTGTCTCTTACTGTTTCTTAACTTATTTGGCAGATGGGCCAATTAATCTTAATTCTGAACATGGTAACTTCTCAAAGACCTTGAAAAAGAAATGCTTCTCTCTGTTTAACTAGATAATATAAGAACTATCTGCTGAACTGGTCTTTGTTAATGGTAGGAAAGGATAAAAGAGATAAATGAGAGAGATAAAAGAGAGATAAAACCCTTTCCTCTGAAGTTTACTTATTGCCATTATAAAATTAAAATGTAGATACCCATCATGATTTGAGATTTTATCATTTTCAGATTTGAAAGGCGGGAAAAAGCAACCCAAAGTCCTGATTTGCAAATGAAGTTCCATCCAATCCAGTTTGACAGAAATGGCAAACTTCTTTTGGGATGAACTTTTTGCCTGGAGCACCTATGGTTACAGGGCTGAGATCAGAACCAGAGCAGCATCTCCTGGGAGAAGAAATGGTGATGGATTAAAAAAAATCACACGCACCACACACTCGTGAATCAGCATACTTAGAAGACCATGTATTCCACATGATATTTTTGTTTAGTTAAATGCCTCACATATTCTGTAAGCTAAATGGCATGTATATTTCTGTTGTGGTGGGTTTTTGTAAAAATTGTGTTAGTAAGATTATGTTTAACCATGTATGTGCAATCAGATTTGCATCTCAGATGATCTAGGTATTGTTACCATGAGCCTTTAGGTATTCCTTGCTAAAAGACACTAAGGGTTTTTGTTGTGGTGTGGGTTTTTTTTGGTTTTTGTTTTTTTTTTTTAACTGGACTATCTGTGTGAAAGGCATTTACTTTCCTTAAAACTGACTCAAAGTGAGCTGCATTGCACCATCCTACCAACGTAGTACTTGAAAATTGACTGGACCTTATTCTTCAGAAGATCCATTTCCTTCAAAAATTGAAAGAACAATGTCCAAATATATCCATACGGAATTAAAGAAAGTCTTCAGGTTGCACAATGCATCCAATCAACATAGAAATGCCTCTCAGTCTCCAGGAAACTAAAGGCAGCATTTCACTTCCACAGTGGTCCACTCAGATCTGGGTGAAGGTTTACATTGTCATTATTGGACATGAAACTAAAACACTAATAAAGCTTAATTTTTATATTTGTGGCACACTATGTATGAAATTTTATTATGGAGCTACAAATATCATAATTTTCCTGCCAAAAGAAACAGGTTAAAAACTCAAAACAAGCAAACAAAAAAAAAAGGCAGGTCAAGGAGGAACTAGTTTATCATCATCATCATGGCTAAGCTTCGCAAACGAAGAATTGAGAAGGGCTCCACCCACGCTTGCTGCAAGTGCGGGAGGCAGTTTATATGAACAAAATGCACATGCAAGAGATACCCAGCCTCCTGCCTCTCCTCTGTCACCCAAAATTTTAAAGCTCAAAGTGGGAAATTAATCTGGTGTCTTGCTGGAGATGTGGGATCAGTAATCTTTATTCCCTACTAGTTGCTGAAGTCCTGTTTTGTGAATCCTCTGTATAGACCTCACTGTATCAGACAAAAGCAGTCCATACTTTATAGGGTTATATTAAAAAGTAAGTACAGCACAGTAAGTACAGTACTTTTCAAACTTGACTTCTGTAATTTGCATACAATTCTAGTAGCTAGACTTTGGGTAGAAACTCAAGAACATGAAAATTCTGTTCAAAATTCTGAATAAGTAGTTTTCAGCTAATGGACATCATTTGACATAGCATTGTGTTAGTCCCTTGCAAGCTTAGGCTAATATCTCTGCCTGAAAAAAAGTGCAGCATCTGCTTATTGAAGTTACAATATGTCCACACCTATAGTAGAAAAGATAGTCATCATGGCCAGGCTTTGCAAATGAAGATCCGAGAAGGGCTCTACTCACACTTGCTACAAACGCGCCGAAGGCTAAAAAGGCCAATGCGAGATAGACAAGTCCGGTTGCAGAAGGCACAACAGAAAGACTCCCCAGGTGACATTAACGAGACGCGATTCTTTCTGCGTTGTCTTTTCTCCTCGAGAGTGATCCTGCGTGTGTTCTCAAAAGAAGCAGTAGCATTACAGATGGTGTGTCTCCAGGCCTCCCGATTGGAGGCCAGGGTAGACCAATGGTGATGATCAATATGGCCAAGAGTGAGGGATTGTTTCAGGCAGTCCTTGTATCTCCTCTTGGGGGCTCCTCTCTTGTGGTAGCCAGTGGCAAGTTCCCCATAGAGTACAATCTTAGGGAGGCGGTAGTCCTGCATCCTGGAGACGTGCCCTGCCCAGCGCAGCTGTGTTCTCAGCAGCATGGCCTCAATGCTCGTGACTGCTGCCTGTTCAAGGACAGACGTGTTGGTCACATAGTCAGTCCAGTGGGTGTTTAGGATTGTATGGAGGCAGTGCTGATGGAAGCGTTCTAAGAGACGCAAGTGGTGCCGGTAAATGACCCATGATTCAGATCCATATAAAAGAGTAGACAGTACAATGGCTCTGTAAATGCTGATCTTTGTACTTTTCTTCAGGTGTTTGTTTTGCCACACTCTTTTATGGAGTTTGCTGAAAGCTCTGTATGCCTTTGCTAACCTGTTGTCTATTTCTGCATCAATCTTACCGTCTGAGGAGATGATGCTACCCAGGTAATTAAACTGCTGGACTGATTTGAGTTTTGTTTCACCAATGGTGATATGGGGATGATGGGAGACTTCCTGAGGTGCAGGTTGGTATAAAACTTCTGTTTTCTTCAAGCTGACTTCCAGTCCAAAAAGCTCAGCAGCCTCTGCAAAGCAGGATGTTAGACACTGCAGAGCTACTTCTGTATGGGCAACGAGGGCAGCTTCATCAGTGTAAAGCAGCTCACAGACAAGATAATTTAAGGTCTTAGTGTGAACCTTCAGTCGCCTTAGGTTGAACAGGCTCCCATCGGTACGATATCGAATGTAGACACCGTTTTCATCATCGAGGTCTGCCGTGGCCCTTTGGAGCATCATGCTGAAGAAGACTGTGAATAAAGGTGGTGCGAGAACGCAGCCTTGCTTCACACCATTGGCTATTGGAAAGGGCTCAGAAAATGCATCACCATATCTGACTTGACCGCACTGGTCCTCATGAAGCAAGATGATCATTTTGAGGAACTTGGGAGGACATCCTAAACTTTCCAAAATCTGCCACAGACCTTTTCTGCTCACATTATCGAAGGCAGTATTATCTATAAGAAACACTCTGTCAGATACTGTCCTCTTGAAGGAACATTTCTTTCAAAATAGTTTTCATGTACCAGAGCTTTCCTACTTACATGGATGATCCGGTAAGGATTCCACATTTGCACCTACAATAGACCTGATGCTTATCTGCTATATGGGTAGTGCAAATTAGGTCTTCTGAAACAGAAGTTACTCAAATCATGTCATATGTAAGTCAAAGAAGTTCAGAAAAGGCAAATCCCCAAAGCTTTCACTTCCCTCACCTGTCATTGATTTTCCCTGCTGAATACAAAGCCCTGCACTACATTTTATTTTCTGAAACATCTTTCCTCTTGCATTCAACTTCCAGTACCTCTGGATGACTATGCAAGCTTCCACTGAATGCCTATCTGTTAAGAATACCAAAACCTTCTGCTAATTTCTTTGTTTTTATTTATGTAGAAGTCTTATGACTTGTATCAAACAAGTTCACTCCACTTTCTTATCATCTTTCATGCTATTTTATATGTAAATTGAAGTCTACTTGATGATTTATTGAGCTGCTGGGTAAAGATAGACTCTTTCACCAGCTATATGTGAAGAGTTTAAATCAGGTAAGAATGAACACAGTGCCAGGAGAGGTCAGGAGAATAGTGGTGCTGGTAAGGAGGTGTGTTTATGCAAGAAAACAAACAAGAGGAACAGAAACATCCTTTGTAGAGTGACAATAGAGGTGAAGGGCAATAGCAACATGTCCTTTTGCCTCAAACCCTACTCATGTGTTTTGAAGTCAAGACCACTTTTTTTGTCAGTGTGTGGGAAAAGCAAATATGCAAATGGGGACAAAAAAAAAAAAGATCGCCTGAAGATAAACTATCAGAAAACAATGTGATTCATCCATCCCTGAACTGTATTATGTGGGCTGCAGTTATCAATAGGGTCATCTTATATTTGTTGCAGGAAAATATACAGAACAGTTGTCTTTGCGATATAGTCACAGCACTTATCTTTCCAGTCCCCCTTTAAGTGATTCAATAAATCATTTGATTTCTAGAATGTGGGAGTATACTTGAAGCATTTCCTTTCATTTTGCAGGATCAAACAGCATTGGTTCACAAAAAAACCCCACTAAAGCCGATCCACACATTTATGAGTCATTAAACCCAAATAAACCAACCCCTTGAGGACAAGCTTCACAATCCAGAAGTTGCTTAGTAGGACATACAGAAGTTACACATCACTCTTCCTGAGCTCTAATGTCTACTCAAACAAAATCCAGCAGTAGGTTCTCTGCCATTATTAGTATCTCAAGAAATTTCTCCAGGATAAAATGTTTCCTTGTTTCCGATGTGGAACTTTTTCTCCCCTTGTCTCTTACCCCCCTCTCTGAAAGCTATTATGTAGTTTTAAATATACAGTTTAAACTTCCTCCATCACAGAGAAAAAGAACACTCTCCTCACCATACACTTCACAAGTAAAAGTAACCCATGAAGTGAATTCTAAAATGTATAAATAGGTATACAAAGTTTTCTGGTAGGTTTAAGGCAATGCCAGCCTTCCAACACTTTCAATAAGAAGTTGAAAAAAAATATTATGAAAACAGATACAAAGAGTCCTTAAAATGAAAGCTGACAATTTTAATACAGTTCCTTTCACTTTGAAGAATGAAAAGACAGTTTCACCCTTGTTTTGATACTTGGAAAACAACATCTGCATACAGGAAATGATAAAAAAACCTGTAAGAGTAAGGCAGGTTCTGAGAAAGGGTCATTTGTATGAAGCAATCTCACTTTCCGAGGATAGGTTGGAGTCCAGTCTCATTTCAGTAGTAAATCAGTCATTTTGGAGTAAGGTTAGAAGGAAGTTTGGGCATGACAGCTTTAGCAGTTTGTGTGGATATGCAACAAATTGAAAAAATAAGAAACTTAGCTTTTAAAAAGTTCTTTTTTTCTATTTCCTGAAATTCATGTTTTGTCCAGTGTCAAAGAAAACATTAAAGAATCACTCGAAGGGGAACTGCTGGCACACACCTCATTTTAAAAGAGGTTGTGCATCTCCTTTTGCTGATTTGTGAGCTAAATCCAGTTAAAAGTTCAGCAGATCCTTCTGTGTTAAATTGCCCAGGAGAAAGAAGCTGTCTGAGCTGCTTGTTTGATTTTCCTCTGTGTATATGCAGATTCACTCCACTGCCAGCACTTCAGCACCTTATCTAGCAGTAAAGCAAGTTCAGTATGTGACCATTATCAAGACGTTAATAGCCATGGCTGAAGTCGTAGAGAATTCAAGGTCCACCCCTGCTGCTGTTCTGCAAGGCAGCCAATTTACTAGCTAGGTTAGCTGGTAAATCTTGCCTTTCCAGTTGTATTATTTTATCTTTCCCTTATCCCACTGTGTTTTGAAAAACAATTATGGCCATCAATTCTGATTGTTACTATCCAATACAAAACAGATCTGTCTGTGTAACTCGTTTGCCCCATGGCTACAAGCGGCTACAAGTTGAGAGGGCTCTTAACTGTAGTATAGTTATGACTGGGTTTCTTGTTAATTGAGTGCCAGTGACAACAGTGGGAAATGCAGTTTGTACCCAGGGCATGATACAGAAGATAAAAAAATAGCTATCATCATTTACTTCAGTAATTCCTGATTGGGTTGCTTCCAGTTCTGTAAATTCAGGAAAATTGCAGCTTTTATGAGCAAGGAAAGGACTGCAGTTTGTTGATATTATTTTGTACATCTTTCTGATTAAGTATCCAGATATGGTCTTGTTCAATTGCAGTCTAATCTGTTTGAGTGCCCTGCCCAATACTGATGATAACAAACTTGCTGTGTGTTAGCTAAAGAGCTTCTAGAAAAGATCACATTCTGTGGAAAAAACCCAGATATTACAACATCATCCAATTTAAAAGTAAAACTTAACTATTTAGCTACTTCTTTTGGTCCAGTACTAGACTGCACTTTAAGTCTTCATGAGGACAAT